ACAGGGTGTCCCTGATCGCTAGGCAATGTAGGGGTACCCTCAAGGTTACCTCTTCTAGTCCTTCTACGCCTGGTTCCTTCAGCAGATATGCTAGTGACAGGAGGGATGGGGGTGGTTAAGAGAGAGGAGCTGGGGTCTATCTTTCACATACTCTCCACTTAGGCAAAACACATTTTAATTCATTCTTTGTGGAAAAAGGTGCATATAATTTTGCTTACTTATCACAGTTAAAAATGTTAACAAGGGAGATTTGAGTAGAAAGTCACTCCTCAGGTTCAAGTCAAATGAGTTAGCCAAGAATTGCTTACAGCTTACTACCCAACATGTGAATGTTAAAGGCAATGAAGCACCATCTAGCCAGGGTAGAGGCCAGGTCCTGAGTACACCCCACTGACAGTGTTCTAGGATATGGCGACCCATTCCAAATGATGCAGGTTGGTAGATCTTGAATGTGGGTAGACCCTACAATGGATTAGTTACTCAGTCCTGAATTGACCTGGGCTTAGTCCAAAGTTGGGGTTCAGCAAATGTTTTTAGAACAGGCAACACCTTCTCAGCATCCATGTACCTTTCTCAAAGGAAAACCAATACAGGAAATACAAACAGAAAATTTAAGATGTAACTAATTACAAAACTCTCCCTTTGGTTAAATAATTCACTGCAGTTTTCCTTAAAAGTTTGTTGCTAAGACTTATGCAAAAATTCAACTCAGGTGAGAAGAACAGAGCTCCGTGAGCATGGCCACAGTGTAACTGCACACAACACTGGCAGCCCCATGCAATCCTGTGCCCACCTACGCTTTATACTCCCTGTCTGCCTTTGTCCTCCCCTTACTGCTCCCATGAAGGCTTTCTGCATACCATTAAAAATTTTTTTTCTTTATTGATTTTAGAGAGAGAGGGAGAGAGAGTAACATGATGAGAGAGAACATTGACTGGCCACCTCCTGCATGTCCCCCACTGGGGATCAGACCCACACTCTGGGCATGTGCCCTGACCGGGAATTGAACTGATGACCTCTTGGTACATGGGTCGACAACCAACCAGTGAGCCACACCGGCCGGGCTCTGCATGCCATTTTAGTGGATTCAGTATTTCCTAATTAGATAGTATACTTTCATGCAAGGAGTCTAGTCATCCGTTTTATTAGGACATGACACTAATTTGTTCACTAACAACCAAGAGCTATAAAATTGCACATTGCAGCATGGCTCTGACCTCTCCAGCCCCAGCACCAGCGCGACAGGCTCCGAACTGCAGTGACTGCAGAACCCGTGAGATAAACAGGGTGACGGTGGGGAAGTTCTTATTCAAATCTAAATACAGCCGCTCGCTGGTGCAGACTGAGATCACTCAGGGAGATTGTGCCGAAACATTTCTCTGATGCTGTTCCGCCCCCACTCCCCAAAAGCAGGTCCCAGCTTGCTCCCGCCAACAGGTGAGAGAGGAGCAGAGACACACATTGTGGTATAAAACCAATGCTCATTTTGGTTTTGTCTTTCAGAAATACCAGTATTTTCCAGATTAGAAGAAATTCTTTTTTTTTTTTTTTTCATAGACTGGCTAACAGGTTTTAAGAAGTTAAGTTACTTACCCAATTTCCCACCAACCTCTTGACCAAATTGGAAAGGAAAATCCATTGAGAATTTCAAACGTGCTGGCCATCCAAAAGTATTTTCTACAGCTCTTGTAAGTCATGCCAACTCCAGTACACTGTAAAACTCTTTACAGTTTGCCAGCTGCTTTCACAGGTTCTCTGGGAGTAGCAGAAATCTAAGTATACAAACTAAAAGAGGCCCTTTTATAAAAACAGTATTTATCTGTACAATAACTAACAAGAATGCTTACTTACCGGGCTGAGGACCACATGAGCTGATTTATTTAAAGTGTTTGGGATATAAAGCCAAGCATATAGGACCTGATGCAGAAATAATTATTACCTATTAAAATTAATGGAAGGGCCCTGGCCGGTTTGGCTCAGTGGTTAGAGCGTCGGCCTGCAGTCCTGAGAGACCCGGGTTCGGTTCCCGCTAAGGGCGCGTACCTCGGTTGCAGTTTGTCCCCGGCCCTGGTTGATTGTGTGGGTGGCAGCCACTCGATGTGTTCCTTTCACATCGATGTTTCTCTCTCTCTCTGTTCCTCTCTCTCCCTCCCACTCTACCTGAACAACAACAACAAAAAAAATTAATGGAAGGGCGCTGTAACCTTTAAGAACCTCTTCATTGAATACCTACTTTCCCTCCCTTTTTAAAATCCTCACCCAAGGACATTTTTTGTTCAGATAGAGTGGGAGGGAGAGACAGAAAGAGAGAGAGAGAGAGAGAGAGAAACATCGATGTAAAAGGGACACATTGAGCGGCCGCCACCCGCACCACCAACCAGGGCCGGGGACAAACTGCAATCGAGGTACACACTCTTAGCAAGCACCAAACCCAGGTCTCTCTGAACTGCAGGCCGATGCTCTAACTGCTGAGCCAAACCAGCCAGGACTACTTTCCCTTTTAATACTGAAGGATGCCAAGGAAGGCACTGAAGAATACAAATATATTTTTACTTTTTTTTTTTTGTTGTTGTTGTTTTTTATCCTCACCCGAGGACATTTTTCCATTCCTTGCTCAGATAGAGTGGGAGGGAGAGAGAGGAACGGAGAGAGAGAGAGAAACATCGATGTGAAAGGAACACATCAAGTGGCTGCCACCCGCACGACCGACCAGGGCCGGGGACAAACTGCAACCAAGGTACATGCCCTTAGCGGGAACCGAACCTGGGTCTCTCAGGACCGCAGGCCGACGCTCTAACCGCTGAGCCAAACCGGCCAGGACTACTTTCCCTTTTAATACTGAAGGATGCCAAGGAAGGCACTGAAGAATACAAATATATTTTTACTAAGTGAAATAATTAAAGGCAAAGATAGGGTTCGTATGTTAACCATTTAAGAAATATCATGTCTGTGCTCAAGCATATTTAGTTCAGTTCTGACTTCCACCTAGGTCCAGAAAACTAGGTGGCCTAAAGAAGAGACACTTGGGAAAATTAAGCCTCCGTGTCCTTCAAAGCAAAGGGTCACACTGCTCTTTGCTGAGCGTGTACTTTTTTCGCAGGCTACCCTGAAATTCCTAAAATCATCCAGGAATTCTTTCTGCAGCCCAATAAAATAATACAAGTCACAGCCTACAGGTTCTCTGTTTAGTTGCACCTGAACAATCTCGTGGTGTTTTGCTCTTGCCCTGGAATTCTCAACTCCAAGAACTTCCGTTCAGCACCTGCCTCCTCTGGTCTTCCTAGCCAGCTCCTTCATCCCAGCTTCCCTACACATCTCACCTGCTTCCTCAACACCACTGGCTTTCTCCTCCTGCACACGATTCAGTATACTCCCCTGGCTCTCATTTTTATTGGTTAAAAAAAAAGGTTCTAGTTAATAAAAGGCAAAAAAAACAACAACCCAAATATATACATACATATCTATATCTATTTTAAAGAGAGATCTATCTATCATCTATCTATCTATCTATCTATCTATCTATCTATCTATCTATCTATCTGTCTGTCTGTCTGTCTATCTTGAGGTTTCATACATTCCCACTCCCTTCTGGAACTCATTTCATATACAAGATAGGACAAGCAGAGATCTTGTGTCCTCTGTGAAGAAAAGTGACTTTACTAGTCTTTGGTGCTTTATTAGACTGGATCATAGCCTGGGATTCTAAACTCTGGGGGACCATGCTAAAACTCAGAAACTAGACCTCAGGCTCTGAATTCGTAAAAATTTTCTCTGTGGGTTGTGTGAGTGTGATTTTTTAAAACAATTCACGCAGTTCAGAATTCTTAAGAGACAAAAACTGAACATTATTAATATATTTTCTCAATGTGAAGACTCTCGGGGCCACACTTTGTATCTAAGGTATGACACCACTCCAAGTAAAAATCAGGGCAAAAAGTCGCCAGCTTGTGTCTGTCATGCTGTAGCAATCTCTCCGTCAAGTGGAAAAGAGCTCCCGGCCCGCACGGCACTGCCACAGCCCGCGGCCACTCCACAGGGCCGGCCGAGGCAGGCCAACAGCCATCAAGACTGTGGAACGGAGGGGAGCAGGCAACCAGAAAGGGGTTAGAAGAAAACTGGAATTGAAAAGTAGGAGGGAGCAAGGATGAGGGAATAAAGGAATAGAAGGATAGAGAAGAAAAGAAGGAAGAGATAAAGAGAACAAAGGAAGGACGAGAGAGACAGGTAGAGAAAACAACAGGGCTGGACCCCTAAGACACAAGCAAGCATTTTCTTTTTCACTCTGTGTCCCAAAGAGGGTGTGAAACAGCACGTAGGGAGACGCCAGGGTGTGGCAGAGGCAGTATAAACACAAGGAGGTGACACCATTTGGTTTGAGCAGGACTGAAGAGTGTTTTTTACATTGATGTACTATTAATACTTTCAAGAACTGTCACAAGGCAGTTTCAATCTAGAGAGTGACTGATTCCCAGATAAGATTAATTTCCTGACCTTAGACTCCCAATTTTTTAACCTTCCAAGGAGCTGCTGGTTGTTATAAATGAGGCGGAGCCCACTATGGAGGATTTGTCCGCAAGCACCACCAAACGGACTGCCTATTCTCCCGGGGCTGGAAGGTTCCCCGGTCAGCTCAGGGAAACTGTAGTCTTGGGGAGAAGCCCTCAGAACACATGGCTGCCACTGCTTAGTGGAAGAGAGGGCATTAAACTAGTTTCCCCATCAAAACTACCCCAAACCAAACCAACTCTGATTTGGGAATGTAATCATATAATACCTACTTGGCAAAAATGTATGGTTGGCTCTAGAACAAAAAGAACTATCTGAATCTAAACTACTGCCTCTTAATCCTTTAATTAGACTAAGTCCTTCAGAAGGAAGCACAATTCATTGTTACTGAAGAAAATCAAAAGCAAATACAGGCTGTGATGTATCTACACACATGTGCACACATACATACCTTGATGTGTTCATACGAATATGAATGAACACTCAGGGTAAAGGGCTCAGAGTCAACGAAGACATTTATTTGTTCATGAGAGCCAGGATTTGGAACATTAAGAAGTTCTGAGAATATGATTTGGGAAAAATGGGACGAGAGGGCGAGACTCAGCAATCCACGGGCATGTTCGATGTGCGCCCACTCTCTTGGGTGAACCCTGCTCTGACTTCAGGCCAAGGTGTTTGCCTGGCAGCGCCCTGACACCTGAGTGGTTGGAAGGCCCTGGCTCGAAAGAATTTATTTGGAACCTTTCTTCTTCTTCTTCTTCTTCTTTTTCACTGGTGTTTCCTCTAGCATAGCATCCACTGCTGCCTCAACTTGCTTTTGTAGCTTTTTCTTTTCTCTCTTTTTTTTGGGCTTTGGTGGTAAGTCCTTGTCATCAAGTGGCCATACACAGTCCTCTCCATCCTCAGCAGAAGCGTCAGAATTCTTGTCCCCATGAAGGTCTCCAAGCTGCTGCTCAACTTGGTCTCTGTTTTTCCTCGTCTTGGGTTGGGTGTAATTCTCCACATTCTTATCTTTTGCTTCTTTCTTTCTTTTCTTTTCCCCTTTTTCCATTTGGGTCTCTGGAAGGTCAGGCCCTGCAGCCACGACCTGTGGCTTGTTCTTTAGCTCTGCCATCCGCTTGGCAAAGTACTCCTGGATGGTGAAGGCACTGGTGGTTGTGGTGGAGGTTTCACTGCCATCTGGAGCAGTGGGGCTGGGTTCATCCTAAGTGGGAAAAGAGTGAAAACTGGTTAAGCATCAGCTGTTTACTTCTCAGGGCATGCAGGAGGACTCCAGCTGGAGCCATTAGCACGCAGCAGTTAGAGATCAGGCAGAGTATCTGGTTTTCGTCAACCTGCCTCTCCCCCACCCCGCCAGTAGAGCTGAACGGCAAAGCATGGAACAAAGTGGCAGACACTTTGGTTGAATACTTTATGGGGTGGTAGGTTGAACAGACTGAAGCCAACTTCAGAAGTTAGCTGGCAAGAAACCTAAATGAAATTCTGAGTAAACAGAATCTTAGCAACAACGTTGGCAATGGCAATTATGTTCCCAGAGTCTCCCTGAAAATGAAGGACACCGAAGTCCTCGGGCTTTGTGATTCTGTCAGACACTCAGTGCTAACCCTTCCAATCACAGCAGCCAAATGCCAACCTGGAGCCTGGCGTACTGGAACACCTTTCTCCTCCAAAGGCAAAGTGTGGACTTCTGGAAGCCGTTCCAGGAAAGACAGCACCAGGGCTGGAAATGCATGCGTTCCGCCTTCCTCCCAGAAAGGAACAGGGCAGCCCTTGGCTGGGGATGGGGAGAAGGAAGATGCCCCATCCCTACTCTGACGCGGACTGGATACTCATGGCTGTGTCAGTCTTGTTCATTAATATGAGGAGTTACACACTCACAGCAGCTGGGATTAAATAAGGTTTGCATTTTAATTTCAGATACATACATTCCACTGTAAGGCTTGAGAGGTGAGAGAAAATTCCTGCCTTGGGATAAAAGAAATGACATGCTGGTATCACTACGTGGGTTATAGCTGGCTGGCAGTAAGATGAGAAAAACATGGGTGTGGGAAGGGAATCCCTTTATGTTGAAGAATGGAAGGACCATGCTTTAAGGAAAGTTACTGAGTAGAATAACTTTGCCCGCAAAGCCTTTTAAAATAATCAAGCCATTTAACAATAATGCTAAACGTAGGTTTTCATAATTTTCCGGCTTCTTCCTTTTTATTCGCTTATTCGCATGGGAAGAGACTGGCTGGTTGACCTGCTCATGTTGGGAGGGTAGGAAAAGAGTTTTCTGAACGACTCAGTTTCCAAATTAGGATTGTACAAATTATTCTGAACTTGGTGGGAAAAGTTCTAACTTTATTACAAACCAACACATATACATGGACCATGCATTTTCTTGACAAAGCAGCACTGAAATACGACTCAGTGGAATCAAGGTAGCATCACCTTTGAGATTCTGGAGGAATCAATGTCCTATAAACGGACAGCTGGGTTCTGAGTGGCCTCGCCCCAGAGGGCTCTGGTGCCTTTCCAACAACATCGCTTTCTCCAATCAACACAAACCTTATTTTACCCAGGCCTAAAAAAACAAAATCTGTGGTCAAAGTTTAAAATTTCAAAATGTAAAATGCAGAACAAGTGCAATAAGCCGACGGAACTTTGGGAAGAAGTTCCAATGTTACCTATCAGCATTCAATTTGACTGGAATCCCACCAGGTAGTTTTGAAAAAAACTTCAGACTAGCTATCCCAGAAGACAAAGACAAGGTCACTTTGTCTTTTTTTTCCCCTCAAATGTCAAAAGAGCTGAAATTTTGCGCAGCAGAATAGAAAATCTCAAGGCTCTCAGTTAACAGACAAGAAAGGTCTTGTCTTCCTTGAAGGGCACACAGCCACACAGTCTCTGTTACGGTGGCCTACTGATGTAAAATAGGTCTCCTTTATTTTCATGGCATTATAAGGAGCTTGTCTTACGAGAGTCAACTCTTCTGGCGTATACCTGTGTCCCAGGAACTCAATTTCAAGTGATATCCTAGGGCTCCTTTACCTGCTCCTCTATTATTAGTATGACCTTCTGAATTCCTGCTTTTCAGTTAAAACACGGGAGCTAATTGCTGGTATTAGTTACACATTTTTTTTTTTTTAATCCTCACCCGAGGACATTTTTGCATTCATCTTCAGATAGAATGGGAGGGAGAAAGGGAAGAAGAGAGAGAGAGTAACATCGATGTGAAAGAGACATATGGAGTGGCTGCCACTCACATGACCCCAACCCAGGCCGGGACAAACTGCAATTGAGGTACGTGCCATTAGCAGGAACTGAACCTGGGACTCTCTGGTCTGCGGGCTGAGGCTCTAACCGCTGAGCCAAACCGACCAGGGCTACACTTTTAATTATTAGGAAATGTAAGACCATTTTGAGTCACTTGTTGAATGCAGAGGGCCTTTCCAATCCCAGAAGATAACTATGCTCATAATGACTCCTTCAGTGGCTAAGATTGTAATGACCATGGGCCACTGCACACCGAGCTTAGCAGGGCATGGAGACAAGCAAGAGAGGTGCCAGCACCCGAACCCTATTTATCCCGAGGAAAGTGTAGGCAGAACAATGACTTGCTGGGGAGAGCCCTTCAGTGCCAGGGGCAGCCACCCTCCCACACGGCGGCAGTGCATCTGTTCTAAAACCATAGAAACAAAGGAGGCCTGGGCTGCATATCTGATTCTAGCAGGAGCGATGCCCAGGACTCATATTTTACAAGCTCATAATTTATGATTTTATAAACCATAAACCCTATTTTACTACGGTGATTATAATCCCTGTTTCCATATTCTTGGCCATGAATATAAAAAATTGTACCCCATTACAAGAAAATGAATACTTTTTATATCTGGTCTCAACTTCAAAGTGAACAGCATTGAGAAAATCACGCTGCTTGTCAGGATTTTGAAAAAGAGTCAACCTGCCTCTCCCCACGTTTCCATTCAACACATAACACAACGTCAACAAAATCTGTCCTACCAAATATGACTCCCTATTTTGTGACTCCCTATTCTCAACATGAGTAAAATGAATTTACAAATAAGCTGAAAACTTCCAGTTCCATACAAAATGCTACCAAGGGAGTTAATGCATAAATCATCTTACCAAAAATTTGGTTAAAGCTTAGGGATTCAGAAAACCTCATTAAAAAAAAACAAAACCAATCCCTCTTAACTAAAGGAAGTCCTTAGGTATATCCCATAACCTCCCTGGGCCTGAGTCGTCTAAACAAGTCAAATCAGTAGGTTAAATCCGGCAACTCCGAAGGTCCCTTGAAGGTCTAAAACATATTCTTCTGTGAACAGACCTTTGGGTTGGCCGTTGCTCTACGATCAGGAGAACGGAGAAGGGAAAGTGAGGGGAGATAAGCAGGCAGCAGAGATGAGCTGGGTTCACAGCCACCAACTGCCCAGCCAGGACGGAGGTAACAGCAGTGCACCTACAGCCTATCTCCCAGGAGAAGCTCCTTCCCACCAGCTGCTCGGAAGCATACAGCCAACAGCAGATCCAGTGATACCTCTTCAGAGCTGAAGTACTGAAGCCATTTTAAGAAATCGTTTAAAGGAACCGACACTACACAGAAGCTAAAATCACTAAGAATAAAAACTGAAGTAAATATTAACTGGAATACTATGAATTTATTTTAAACCAAAGTCCTGAAAATCATCCCAATACTTCTAAAAAAGGTGGTAAGAAGCTGTAACTTTTAAAAAATAATAAATTCTCCTTTTGTACTTATGGTTTTAAAGGTTCTCTTTTTATATACTTTGGCTTGAAGATCTCCACTGAGCCGTCACATCCCTAGATTTGTGTTCCCAAAGACAGCCGCGGGAAATGCTAATGGTGCTCTCGGCGGGAACTGGGACCGTGGTGGCTTCGGGAACGAAGACCCTGGCAATGTCTCCCTCGGCTTTCACACCTCCACAGTCTAAGGTTCTTTCAGTCCTGCTCGAGTGCCAAGAGTTTCCCTCGCTGTCCAGGAACGGCACATGCAAGGCTGCGACTTGGGTCCAGCGAAGGACAGGGGAGGTGAGTCTGCGTGAGAGGGAGCGAGGGCTCTGCCTGGGGAAGCCCCCAGTCTTTGAGCTGACCATGGTGCACTGTCACTCGGCCGGGCAGGGACATGCCACATGTGACTGCCATGTCCAGGACCAAGCAGTACACCTAAGATGGAGAAGCTTTTCAAAGAGCTCAGTGGACAAGGAGGGGAAATGGTAGGAAACACAAAACACTTTTTTTTTTTTTTTTTTTTATCCTCACCCGAGGACATTTTTGCTCAGGTAGAGTGGGAGGGAGAGAGAGGAACAGAGAGAGAGAGAGAAACATCGACGTGAAAGGATCACACCAAGTGGCTGCCACCCGCACGACCGAGCAGGGCCGGGGACAAACTGCAACCGAGGTACGCGCCCTCAGCGGGAACCGAACCCGGGTCTCTCCGGACCGCAGGCCAACGCTCTAACCGCTGAGCCAAACCGGCCAGGACCAAAACACTTTTAAACATCTCCCCCTCGATTTGTAATATATCCACTGTTCTACCTCCCCCATCATTAATTAATAAGATACAAAGGCACAGTTACACACCTGAAGTATTTTCTGTGTTATTGAAGCTACTCTTTTAAAAATACAAATACAACCAGTTTCTTGTGCTGTTCTAAAAAATGGTTTCATAGGTTAATCTTGTCTGTTCTCAGCAAACCTCACAGTCTTCTCATTTCTTTCAGAGCTGATGAGTGTAACAATGAGTGTAAAAAAACCTGACTATCAGTTTCCCAAACGCTAGCTAGGGCCTTAATTTCTCCCCATCAGTAAATATCTGCGGACCAGAGCCCAGGAGGACGTCCCCATGGCACAGAGCCTCAGGCTTAAAGCCACAGGAGCCCTGCAGATGGCTCCACTCCTCTCATAAGGCCACTGTACCCAGTGGCCAGCGTCATTTCCTGGATGCCTTCAACATGCCCGTCACTTACCACCTGTCCTCTCATGCGATTCCCACAGCAGCGCGCCGAGGAGAGGAGCTCTCCATCTTTCAGAGGTAGAATCGGGGACTCGCCCCTTCGCCCCCCGTTAGGGCATCCTAACTTTCAGCCTGCGTCAGACTCAGACTCACTTGTCCCTGTTTCTCTAAACAGCTGTTATATAGTCCAGGGGCTGAGGTCCACACTCAACTGTAGGAGGGCA